TACCCTTTCTGCTATGACCCCCTCTGTCCGAGACCTGCACCGTTCATTGGCCCAACCCTCTGCTCCTGGACCCCCCTGTTCTCCCTCTTCCCTCTTCCATCTCTGTCAGTGATTCTCATCTGGGGGGGATTTTCCCAGCCCTGTCTGGAGGTTTGGGTTGTGCTCTCTGGGGCAGGGAGGGGGCTGCTATTGGCCTCTAGTGGGTGGGGGCCAGGGATGCTCCGAAACATCCTGCAGTGCACAGGATGGCCCCACAGTGAAAACTACCCTGCCCCAAATGTTAGTAGGGCCGAGGTTGAGGAACCCAGATCTAAGCTGCTGGAGGACACAGGGCTCCTCTGCGTTGCTGGCCCTGCGGAATGAAGACATTCCGCAGCGGCCTGGTAAGCCCGTATGCCCCGATTTCTGCTCTCTCCTCCCTCCACAGCTTCTATTGCAAGCTTCCTTCCTTTGCTTGGACTTTCTGCCCTCAGCCTTCACTCCCTGTGCCTCTGGCTTCATGGACTGAGTGGAAGGGGTGGGGAGGTGAGGGGTCTCAGCCCTCTCCTCTGCCACCCACGCACCTCCCTCCCTCTTATTGCTTCAGCTCATTTCTCTTCCTGCATTCCAGATTCCCGTCAACCCTCTGGCTGTGTCATTCCCATGCTACACAAACATGATGCCCCTAAGAGTCACACCTGGGTTGCTAAAGCAAAGCCGCCAGAAAATGCAGACTCCTGGGCCCCACTTGCAGAGATGCAGGTTCAGGTTATGATGGAGGTGGGGTCAGGCCCAGGCCACCAACCGCTCAACAAGCACCTCAGCAAACTCTGGTGAAGGTTGGACTAGAATTTGGGAAAAGTTGACATTTTTTACCTTTTATACCTTCAGTCTCTCCATCTTGATTTGGTCTTTACCATTAGCATTGAACGTAGTCACCATATAATTCATTTTCTACTTTGGGGAGAGAAGTGGGGGGGTGATGGGTAATTATACCGAGTCAGTAGGTAGGATCAGGATCACCCAGGGCCTACTGCAAAGTGTGGATTCCATAATTTTTAAATGCCTTAAATTCCTTCCATTCTTCCTTTTTAAAATTTTATTTTTAAGTAACCTCTACACCTAGCGTGGGGCTTGAACTTACAACCCCAAGATCAAGAGTTGCATGCTCTACCAACTGAGCCAGCCAAGGCCCCAAATTCCCTCCATTCTTAACACACGCCGTCCTCATCAAAGAAACCAACAGTTACCGACAATAATAACCAAACATTCCTTCTCTGCCTCCATAATCCCCAAGTTCAAGTGGATGGTCCTGCCTGAAGGTGTACCAGGAGGAACCCCACCCTCACAGCCTTCTCTGCCCTTTGCAGCTGAACTTCTTCAAAGAACTGTCTCCTCCATCCCCACCATGCCTTGTCACTCCTCTGGTGAAGTCACCAGCCACCTGATTGCTCACTGTAGTGGACACTTGCCACATCTGACTTCCCCTGACCTTGTAACCACCTGTCACCTGCCACCACTCCCTCCTCATTGCATTTCCAAGACACATGCTCTCTTTATTTTCTTCAGCTCCTCTGGCCAGTTCTCCTCTGCCCACTTCCTGGACTTCTTTCCCCGTCCTTCCTTTACGTTTTGCTTTAGAATGAATGAATGATGTGCCAGAGGTCAGGACAGATGGAGACAGGATTTTCCTGGAGAGTCTGGCATCTCTAGCAACTTTTTGTCCCTTGCCTGGTGCATCAAGGACCAGGCAGCCCAGAGGGTCTCTGTGCCCCCAGGGAGTTCTCAACTCTCACACTACAGGTGAAGAAATGACAGTGAGGAAGGTCCAGGGCTTTGGAGGGCTGCAAGCTTGAGGCCTCTGCTGGAGGCAGCTCTTCCGGAGGCCTGATATTGAGGGAGGCAGAGCACTGCAGAACTAGGGGCTTGGATCTGCAGTCAGATGGGACTGGTTTGGATCCCAGCTTCTGTCTCTCATGCCCTGGGACAAGCTTCAAGTTCCAGCTCTTCTCTTCTGTAAAGTGGGAATAATAATGTCAGACGGGTCATGAGCACGCAACAAGATGGTACAAAAGAAGGCGTCCAACATGTGACTGCCTCTGACGGATGGCCGCTAACTAGTCTAGCCCAGCCTCCGGAGCAGAGGGGCAGACAGGCAGCTCCTGAGCTTGAAAAAACAGGCAGAAGAGTCTGGAAGGAACTCTCAAACACGGAAAAGAAGCTGTGCCCCCTGGAGGAAGGTCTTCATTCAGTCTGCAGATGCAAATGAATGAGCCAGTGAATGAATGCAGCAAGACCAGTGGGGCGCGGCTGGGGAGCCCCTATGAGCCTAGAAGACCCCCTGGCCCTTTCTGGTGTTCTGCACACACTTTCTGGTGCTCTGCACACTTGTGTTTGAGAACGAGCTTCTTGAGATCATGGGCTGTGCTTGTTATAACCCGTCCCATTCTCTGGCCAGCACTTGGCACATAGTAGGTGCCTGAAATAGGTGTTGACTCGCCCTAGAAAAGACATCCGGTGGTGGGGGTGGGGTGGCAAAATAATGGTCATGGGAAAGAGAAAGCTGCAGGAATGAAATCCTCAGCAGCCCCTCCCCCCGCCACACACACACAGCTGGGATGCAGGCAATAAATTAGTGGCTGGATTTCCATGCAACTCAGAGGCCAGGATCAAGTTTGCTTCCTTCAGCCCTGGAGTCTCTGAACATGAGATGATAAAAGGCCTATGTGAGGAGGCCAAGTGAGGTGAATGACATAGGCATTGTGATCTAGTGTTAGGCTACTACTGACCTGATGATCCCACGGGTAACTACAACCACAGAGGAGGGGGTGGGGGGACTACTGTAGTTGCCAGAATCACTGCTTATATCAGGTGTTTCTCCCGAAATCGCGAGTTGGTGGAGGTGTGGGGATGGAGGGCTGGGGTCTGAGAGCTGTCTCCCCAGCAGGGCTTGTCACAGTGGGCCTGGGTGTTCCTGTGACCTGCAGAGCCTAAAGCAATGAGCAGCGGGGGATTCCAGATAGAAGGGCCCCTGGTCGGCTCTCCCTGCCTGCCCTGTGTAGGGATGCTGTGGGGAGGTCACGCAGAAGTGCACTTGTGCCCACTCAGGCAGCTTTTCTGTCCGGATTATGCCCCGCCAGGCTGATGGCACTGCCTGCGGACATACCAGGGACCTGCTGGTGGATGGAGGGGAGGCAGGTGGCCATGTGGAACCCAGGAGGGTGACAGGGCACCAGCCAGAGCTGTAAAAGGACCCAGAGGAGACCCTCGACTGGGGCTCCCTCTGCTGATGTAAGGGAAACATGGGGCTTGCAGGAGAGGGGTCTCAGAGGACTTGGGAACATTTGGTTTGGAACAGAAGACACCTGAGAGCCTCTATCTTCAAACGCTACATTCCAGTAGATAAACTTGGGAGTAGGAGCCTGATATGTAATCTTTTATCTTTGCATCTGCAGATCCCAGGTTCTGATTAGAACTGCCTGTGGGGCAGTGAGTTCCCTGTCTCTGGACGTGTTCGAATGTAGATGGATGGGACAACCCCTCAGGAGGTGGACTAACCATGAAATCATTAGTGGCACCAGGGATGGCAAAGGACCCTCCCCATCATGAGATTGCATTTGGTGGGGTGGGGGTGGGCTTTGTGGAGGCGGCAAAGCAACCTCTTCCCTGGGTGGTGACCAGTCCCTTCCTCCGTGGACTGCTCAGGAAGCAGGGGCTCCCTCTGAGCATTATTGGAGGTAGGACCGTGGCTGTTAACCAATGGACCCTCCAGCACTGAGACCCTCCCTCCCAGCTCTAGCCATCTTTCCGCTAAGCTGTACCGGTGACCAGTCAGCCCTTTTCGTTCTCCAGGAACTTTCTCTCTTTCCTTTCACTTGCTCCGTGGACATAAGCCCTGGGCTCCTCCATATCTCCACACAGCCAGGCCAGGTCAGGGACCTGTGGACCCCGACCCAGCCTCCTGATTCCAGATCCTGGCTGGCCCCAGAGGTCTTGAGTGGGCCGGGGCTGGGTTTCCCTAGACGTCCGCCTTCATCACCCTGCCGTGCGCTTTTCTTGCCCCTTTGGAGAGAGGCTCCTCCCCTTGTCCTGGGACCCTATGGGAGAGTCACACTTTGCCTGCCTTCTCACCCACCTGGCATGGGAGGAGGGACTTCCATTTTGGGAAACATTTGACCCTTCACAGTGATCTGGTCACGTTGGTAGTGCTCCCTTGACTCTGGGGTTGAGGCAGGGACACCGAGAACTTGAAATACAGGGTTAAGAAGTCGCCGGGGATGCACAGAGCTGGGGTTCGAAGGCCCCCTCATGCTGCCTCACGGAGACACAGTGTCTGGGGCCAGGTGGGACTGGGAAGGCAGCCTGCTGAGGACAAAGAAGGGACAGGAGGGAGGGGGCCTAGAGCCACCTTCCAAATGTGCCCTGGGCCAGAGGCAAACCCCAGGGGGCAGCCTTTTGTCACCAGCCCTGCCTCTTGCCCTGGCCAGGTGCCTTGCTTGTCATCTCGAGGCCCAGTCTCGGTAATGGTGGCCCATGGGGAAAGCTCCAAGCTTGGGCTTACCAGAAGCCCCAGTGGGCCTGGGTGAAATGGGTTATCCGGTCCGGGGCCCGGCACACCCAGACTTTACCTGTAGCCACCATGTGGTCTTGTCGTGCAGGAAGGTCGGCCAACTCTTCCGTCTGAATTGTTACCACTTTCTGCCACCCTCCTGCCAGCAATGTGCAGAGAGCTGGGGTGCCTGATCTGAAGTTTATTGATCAAACATGGTTTTTTCTTTTTTTTTTTCTTTGAGGACTCAGAAGGTTCTGGGGGTTGATGCCAGAAACTTGCTCTGGGCTGTGCGGCGTCCTGGCCAGTTGACCTTCTGGGCCAGCATTTTATCTCGCCAACGCCTTAGCATCGAGCCCCTCCCAGCCACCCCGCCCACTTGGTGCCCGGAGCCCAGAGCTAATTCCCGGGGCGGGTGTCACACCCACCGCACCCTCGGCCGAGCTGACCTGCCCGCGCTCTGTGTCCGCAGGCTGCTGAACAGAATGTCCGCGGACGACCGGCACCTGGGCTCCAGCTGCGGCTCCTTCATCAAGACGGAGCCGTCCAGCCCCTCCTCGGGCATCGACGCCCTCAGCCACCACAGCCCCAGCGGCTCGTCCGACGCCAGCGGCGGCTTCGGCCTGGCCCTGGGCGCCCACGCCAACGGTCTGGACTCGCCGCCCATGTTCGCGGGCGCCGCGCTGGGGGGCACCCCGTGCCGCAAGAGCTACGAGGACTGTGCGGGCGGCCTCATGGAGGACTCGGCCATCAAGTGCGAGTACATGCTCAACGCCATCCCCAAGCGCCTGTGCCTCGTGTGTGGCGACGTTGCCTCTGGCTACCACTACGGCGTGGCCTCCTGCGAGGCCTGCAAGGCCTTCTTCAAGAGGACCATCCAAGGTGCGTGCGGGCAGCGCGGGGGCGGCGGGAAACCGGGCCGTGCCCGCCAGTTGCCAGGTCGGGCCGGGCCCCGCGACGGCAGCGGTTCCTGGGGTTTCCCCTTCGGGATTCCGGGCGAGACTCTGTATAATAAACTCCAGGACTGTCGTGGGAACGGCAGACACGCCCACGTGGCGCCCCAAGAAAATCCACGCAGATGCCTCCGCACGCGTGTGCTCCTCGCCGGTAGGGGGAGCACTCCCAAGAGCGGGTCCCTAAAATTTGATCTGGGGGGAGAAACCTGTGTTCTTTGCCCTGCAGTTGCAGACGCCTTGCAATAGAAAGGGTTGTTCCTCGTTGCGTGTTTTTTTTAAGATTTTATTTATTTGAGAGAGAGAGAATGAGAGACAGAGAGCATGAGAGGGAGGAGGGTCAGAGGGAGAAGCAGACTCCTTGCTGAGCAGGGAGCCCGATGCGGGACTCGATCCCGGGACTCCAGGATCATGACCTGAGCCGAAGGCAGTCGCTTAACCAACTGAGCCACCCAGGCGCCCCCTCGTTGCGTTTTGATCATTTTCTTTTTTTGGTGTGTGTGTGCGTGTGTGTGTGTGGAAGGGCGGAGGGAGAGGGAGAATCTCAAGCCGATTCCCCCACTGAGCGCAGAGCCGGATGTGGGGCTCGATCTCATGATCATGCCTGAGATCACGACCTGAGCAGAAATCGAGAGGCCATCGCTTAACTGATGGAGCCTCCCAGGGGCCCCTGTTTTGATCTTTTTAAATTACACAAGTGAAACACAATTTTCTTAATTGGGCAAGAGGCCAACAGAGCAAGGGAAACCCACTCACCCTGTCTGATCCCAACGTGGCCTGTCTTCAAGGGCTTTTTCCAGTGCATCTGCGTATCCGCTGAATCCTGTTCCCATGGCCATGAGGGTGGCTGCCTCTCTGGGGGTACGTGAGTGATTTAGTCCTAGGAAGGTGTGCAGGAGCCCTGGTGGGTGCCCTTTGTAAAACCACCCCAAGGGAAATGGGGGATAGTGGTGGGTCCACCTTCACAGAGCTGTATCAAGTTCACGGCACAGGGGCCAACCCAGAGGAACAGCCTGGCGCTGGGTAGGCAAGACTCAATGCAGCAGGCCATGGGTAGAGCACTTGCGCCATTCATTCAGTTAAGTTTCTGTTGAGCATCTACTAAGCTCCAGCCCTTGTTCTAGGTGCTGTCGCTGGATAGACAAAAGCCTTCCTGCTGCACGTATCTGAGACGAGCTGATGCAGTTTTCCTGGGACAGAATTCGTAACCAGACTGAACAAAACCCAGGGGGCACCTGTCCTGGCTCTGGCCCTGCCTGGCTGTCCTGAGGGTGTCCTCTCTCCCCCCTTCCCCATTTCACTTTTGAAAGAGTCAGGTTGAGCTTTCCTGGGATGACTTGCAGTTTATTCATTCAACAAATATTTGTTTAAATTTCTTGTGATGATGTATTTATTAAATCAGTTGAGGGCCTTAGGATTGGCCATGTTTCCAGTTCTACCTATTAGTTGAGATGTTGTGGTGTAGTGACTATCCACCTGGGTCCCTGGGTCAGACCGCTCCATCCGTTACCTTATAGCTGAATGCCCCGGGGCATGCTGCCTCAGTTTCTCCCTGGGCTTCTGTCCTCAGTAAGGTGAGATGTTGTCATTCCTTCCTCACATAGAGCTGTTAAAAGAAGAGTAAGTGAATTAGTATGTATAAAGCACTTTGAATATTGCCTGGCACCTTGTAAGTGCTAAATAAATGCTTCCAAGTATTATTTTCACTTTCACGATACCACCTAGGACATATTACTAAGACAATAGACACATAATTTATCTTACCGAGCTGGCTTTTGTAATGACATACATTTAAGTAAAACGGTGTAATTATTTTGACTTAGGGTTTAAATTATTTTAGCTATTTTAGTTACAGCTAATATTTTTTAAATGAACCCTCAAAAAAAAAAAGGTAAAAATTCAGCCAGTACAAAAGAGTAAAGCAGTAAAAAGTACATTTTCCTAAAACTCCAAACTCTGGGATTCCTTGTACCTTCCCCAGAAGGAGCCATGACACATAGTGCTTTCAGCAAATACTGAGTGTGTTCACATCAGGCCCTATGCTAGCCTCCAGCCTGGTGAATGAACACATCCCGGATCCTGCCAGCTTCATACCCCTGAGTCTGGGAGCAGGCTCGGGAATCTCTGTATTTGAAAAGCACTGTGTGGTCATTCTAAGTCTCCTGCCTCCACCAGGGTTGAAAACCTCTGGGCTCATAGCCAGTCAGTATCATTGGATATCTGACAAATAAACAGGAGATGTTTAAACCAAATTAAGTTACGGAGGTGGTCTTGGTAAGGTTGCCATTATTTTAGATTCTTCGAGACCAGTTTTTGAAAAATGGCTTTTTAGGGGACAGTCCCATTTTCTTCACTCCATATTGCTCTGAGCTAGAGGGGTTCTGGATCACATTTTTCGAAAGTAGAGGCTGGTGTAGACCCAGCAGAGGCCTGGGTGCTGCGAATGTCCTCAGCACGTCAAGAGCCCACGTGATGAACGATTTGTAAATAGTCTTTAATTATTTGTTCCACGAAGAGGATAATGATCTTTTCCTAGAACTCAGAGGACAAATAGCATTTAGTGCCATCAGGACTGAACTGCTCTTGCCTCTTTTGTCACAAGTCCTGGGTCTTGTTTAGAAGCAGGAAGAGGTTTCTGTCTAGAACAGGGAAAAAGCACACTCTCTAAAGCTGATGGCTTGCTCTGGTGATTTTTATGAACTCTTTGGTTTTGGTCTAACATTGATTTTGACTTTGTTGTTTCTGGGCCTGATGGCTGTAGAAAATTTGGAAGCATAGTTAAAGGATAAAGAGGAGAACGTGACCTATTGAATGACCTCAGAGACAGGTGGGAACCGTGTGCGTGCTCTGAGTGAGGTACAGGGTGGAAGCAGGAGAGAGAGAAACGGCACCTGCTTTCAAGACGCTGGAGTCTTAAGGCTTGAAGCATGTGAGGCTGTAGGCCTGGCCTTAGGCTCCAAACCAGTTTATGGGCCCCTAAGCATCTACCCAATTTAAGAAGGATATTCAAGCCATTTTTTTTTTTTTAAGTCTGATCACTTGGACGGAGGGCCTTCCATCACAGAATGATGCATTCATGAATTTATGTGAATGCTTGGAAAGCTCTGAAACTCGTGCTCGCTCATCTTTCACCTCCCTCCTCAGATCATTGCAGTCTCTCACTTCAGTGGTTATACCAATATGGGAAGAAGTTTATAGAAACAAGGATGTCATAGGGGCGCCTGGGTGGCTTAGTCGGTTAAGTGACTGCCTTCAGTTCGGGTCATGATCCCAGGGTCCTGGGTTCGGGCCCCCTGTTGGGCTCCCCGCTCAGTGGGGAGCCTACTTCTCCCTCTCCCTCTGCCCCTCTCCGCTGCTTGTGCTCTCTCTCTCTCAAATAGATAAGTAAAATCTTAGAAAAAAAAAAAGGATGTCATGGTAGACTTAAGGAAAAAACAGATACCCATTTCTTCCTTTTCTTTGTTTCTTTCTTAGACTTTATTTTTAAGTAATCTTTACACCCAGAGTGCGGTTCGAACCCACAGCCCAGAGGTCAAGAGTGAAAATGTTCCACTGACTGAGCCAGCCAGGCGCCCCAACCATTTCTTTTCTTTAAATACTTACTGGTGCTTGGCTGTGCTCGGTGCTAGCACGGGGAGGGGGGGTGTGCTGGAGAGATGGGCTAAGCACAGCCTCCAGGCTGAAGCCTGCTTTTGCCAGTCAAGCTGGATTGGGACACTGCCCCACCTATTAGTTTACGTAGTCTAGCAGCTTAGGCACATGGACAGCAGAATTGACTAGTTTCCACGGAGACCTTTTCGCTGCAAAACCCAGAACATGTACTGTCTGGCCATTTATAGAAACAGTTTGCACTCCCCTGCATGACAGACAGCACTGAACAAGGTAGGCCAGTCCCTCTGCCCTCAGGGAGCTTAGAGTCAACCCGGAGTAGTGCCATAGCCCATCGCCTGCCCTCTTCTAGGCTAAGCGCGTTTGTTGTCGGTGCTGGAGGTGATCATGACACCCTGAACAGATGAACTTAGCCACAAAAGAAGCACCTTCCTGAAGGGACACCGTGGCTCCATGGCAAAGGAGATAACCCTCAACCTAATTGAATTTACTAGCATATCTAAAGAAAAAAATGTGCTCATCAAAGAGGATTGGTCAGCCCCAGAGGCATAGAAAAAAAAAAAAAGGCAGACTTTGGCCAAGGCACCACTCCTAGGAACCGGGAGTCAGCCTGGGGACACACTGATGTCATTAAACGTTCCATTGATGTGATTAACATCTTTTTGATTATGATCTAGTTCCCCTGTATGTCTTCTGCTTGGAACGAACTTGCTGGTTAGGCACACCAGTTTCTCTTTGTACTTGAATGTGCGTCCCTGGGCTTACACATCGGGTTTCGGAATTTGGGCGATGGGAGTCTGACCCTGAGAGATTGGAGCCCCTTTCTGGACGATGATACTGACTTCATGGTAATGAAAACCTCTGTTAATGGGTATCAAAGTAATGAGGTGGCCTTTGGGGGAGCCACCTGGGGGACTTTTCCAAGCTGGATCCCCAAACCTTGACCATCACCTTGCCTCCTGTCCCACCAAGAAACTAGAAGATAGAAGATGCCACCGGACCTACCCATTCTCCGCCCCCCCTGCATCTGTGGTGCCTTCGGTCACTGATCTATACATTGCTGCCTGCTGCCGCCGACAGCTAGGAGAGGTCTCCCACCCCGGGCTCCGCTCTTCCCAGGCTTTGAGGCCTACCGCCTCCCCACTTCCTAGAGACTCTCCTACCCACTATCTCTTCTCTTTTATCTTCTCACTTTCTAGTCTCCTTCCTTCCATCTGCATTTAAATACCTCTAGTATCTCCAGTCTAAAACGAAGAAAAGAAAACAAAAACATCCACATCCCCTCGCCCTTCAGCTTCCAGCCCCCCCTTATCATCCTTG